AATACAGTACAATTGGGAGGGAAAAAAACATACCTTAACATTCCTCATACCATTTTCTTGCTGTCACACAAATGCCTTTATTAAATAGCCCAAAGTGGCACGATTGCCTTTCTTTCAAGAAATAAAAGTTAAAAAAAAAAAAAAGTAAAAGTATTACTCATGGTCATTTCATTAGAAAATTTATGGAAAATATATGCACACCACGTTAGTCCTAACAAAGACTATAATACCAATATTCAACCCTGAATGGCACGCTACATTAAAAAAATTAATGGTGCAACGTTTGCAGAAAAACAATACAAAATTTTGCTCGTTTATATGAGCAGCAACAGAGTCTTGTGGTGGAAGACGCTAGCAGTTGAACACAATAGAGGCAGAAGCTCAACATGGGAGGAGGAAATAATTCAACAAGGTAAGGCACATTGACGTAGCCACAGATAGGCACAATGATGCGGGTACAAAAAGCTTGCAGCGCTCATCTACAGTTTTTACGCAAGCATGAAGAAAGAGTGAGTGGCAGGGCACAACCATCGATTCAAGCACGATGAACAGTCAACTAATCACGGACAAATGCAGCAGTTCAAAAACAAGGAACACGACGCGGTAAATAGTGTGGTATATATGGTGGAGAAAAAAAAAATTCCCACAAACACAAGCTGGTGTTGGCAGTTAATAACATCTTTCTCAATTACTAAAAATAACTTCAGACGTCCACTTACTTCTTAGTTTTAGTAAGAGTTTTACGGCATTTGCAACACAACAAGGTCAAATAAGTGCTGAAGATTAGAGGTGTTACAAGAGAGTAGCAAACACAAAAAAGAAGGAGGAGAGATCAGGACGATAGATGTACGGTAGGAAAGAAGGAGCAAACCACACCAGAGCACCCGTCAACCACCCACTTCTACTTACTTCTAACAGGTAGATGCACAATCTGATCAAACAGACAAACTAGCAAAGACAGACTCACAGACGCGCTGACACTCGCACTTTTAAATGGCGGGCACAATATTTGGTGTGCGCGCCAGCAAAGACGTACAAAATACTGACGACCATTTTGATCTAATGTTTGTACATGAAAAAAAATACAATATGAGTTAATTAATGCTTAAATTACCATATTTGCAGAAAAAACTGAAAAGTGAAATCCCTCCTCCCTGTATCGCATTGGGAAAAATCCATGGTCGAATACAAGACTCCAACAAACACCATTTTGAAATTTGGCATTTGTTGAGAATCTTCCATCCAACCATCAAAATGTAGTTTTCAGTCAGGAAGGGTTTTAAATTGTGAAAACAAGGTAGAACTACATGACATTTTATACAATAATAAGTGGCCATCTTTGCACAGTGCCGGCAAATGTTCATCATAATCAGAGAAAGCAAATGCCATTTCAACCCACCGGCGCTCATAAAGGTTCTCTGTACACAGAAACTCTTCAATATCAATATTCAAATCAAGGTAAATAAATTCCCAAAAAACATTTCAAAAGCACAATAATACAGTTTTTACGCAAGTTTTACCCCCCCCACCAACAAACCAGTCTAACAGATGGTCTATCTCACCCCCTTCAGAGATGTCAAGACAGGATGCTCCTTCTATACAAATGTACATGGCACAGTCTGGAATCCGGACATATAAATTAAATTATTACAAACTAGTAGTTAGAGGTTTGCATCTCGCACACAAACACACACACTACATGCACAGTTATTTTATTCCACGCAATAAAAAATTTCATTCACACACAAATTAAGAGTGCTCCAGCGCTGCACTATACCGTACAAACAAACCAAGTCCTGTCTCATCTCAACTAAAGCTGTAAGGGAGTTGGGGCTCACAATAAAGAACAAAGGCAGAATTTCTCACAATAAAGTTTTTTTCAACAGCAGAACTGATACTCTCATGGTGTTGTTGGAGACAAAGAGAAGCACCTTGACACAATAACAGTCATATAGTGCTGGGGTAAAGCAAGATGAGAAGACAGAAACATACAGTCCAAAGTAAAGAAGTAGGATCGACCAGTGGTGCCCTTCAAGCACCCACACTGAGGGTGTCTGAAACAACATAAGTTCAAGTCAATGAACATATATAGGTCTCTTCATTTCTAGGAACACTAAAAAAAATCATCAAAATTTCATTACAGTGATGTCGCAAAGACGCTTCAAATCATATTAAAGACAAAGAGCACTCATTTCCCCTGTAAGGGCACCGGGCTGAGACAGAAAAAAGTTGCAGGGGGGACCAAGTCAAGAAAAATTCAAACTCCGAGCCTTAGCATGAAAGGAAAAGTCTACTGACCAACAGCACTTCTACATGTTTGTGAAATAGGAAAAGTACATTTAGCTTAATATCC